AAGTTTGTATATTTTCGGTGTTTTTTTTTTTAGTGTCGTACATTGTAGCTGCCAGTTGTAATGTTTTGCTTTGCAGGGCGGGATTATACAATTATACGCCAAAAATTTACGATTCACGCCAACAATTACGACGTCCAGCTGTGCATCGCCGCCTCAGTGTGAATGTTGTTGCAGGCGTGGAAGGAGGTCCAGGAGGAGCTGGGGCCGGACGGCAGGAGGAAGGAAGGTAGGTCTCCAGCCACGTCCTGTATGACGTGTCACCGCCTGGTGCCGCGGTGCGCCGCGCGCCGTGCTTCATCCCTCGGGTGGACGCTCGCGGCGGGGCGCCCGCGCGCCGCTTCCATGTTTGGTGGCCTGTTGAGGTCACGTGGTGTTATCGGCGGCGAGTTCTCGTCGGGGGATTATTGGTTACACTTATTAGGGCTGTTGGCACTGACTCTTTCTGAACAAGTAAGGCTCAGACTCGCTTACAGTGTCATGCGCGGGCTCCATCCTGGTCGTGAGCTTAGTCATTGTTTCATTTTACGGCATTTGACGCCTCGAGAAATCCGGTTAGTCTAACAGGAGTGAGATCGCAGCTGAGAGAGTTCAGAATGATGGCATAAGTTGTTTTTCTGTGATGTCTTAATCCCCGCTGATCGTTACGTTCTATTTGGCACTCCCCCAAGACATTTAAGGCACCTGACATCATTTCAATGCATTTAACCGCGGACTGTCAATTTTCGCTTAAGGAGAGGAAAAGCCAAGTCATTTTCGCAGAGTTGTCACTTCTTCCGCCAGTCCACACGTACTCATTGGTTAGCAGCAATTGTTTCGTTCGTTAATCATCTCGGGTATACGAAGCAAACGGTTTATTCACGGCATACGTTGCAAAGAAAACCCGGTCTGCCGTCGCTTTCCCAAATCAAAGAAATTTGGAAGAACTTTGTTATTTGTCCAGTCGCTATTTTACGTACAAAATCCCACTCAAGTTAAGTTCACCAGTATTTTCCGATTTCATTAACCGCCCCGGTAGTCCTGAGCACTGCTTCCTAAACAGTCGCCGAACGTCACGGATGTTTCAAACGTCGTTCTCTGGAAGGAAGAAAAAACAACCTCGAACCTTGAAGATACCCCCCGCCCCCCCCCCCCCCCCCTGTTCAGGTTGCCATGTCGTAATTAACAAACCCAGAGGCCTAAGATAAGGTACCATTCACGAATGAGGGCTCCGGTAGTCGCTCCTTAGCTCTGGTCGATGCTCCTTAGCTCTGGCCGATGCGAAGCAGAACCGAACCATTGACTCGGGAGGCATTACTGAATCAGCCACCCAGCGAAGAGCCACAACATCTATGTCGTTGCACTCGTTCCGTGGTTGATGCCCTATCATATGCTTGCTAGTTAAACCTGGGCAAATAATAAACATGCTCACAGCGTAGACGTGGAAGCCCACTCTTGCTTTGAGAATTGCGGTCCAAATCAATCACCCCGGTATGCCCGAACTGCCAACTAAATCAGCTAGATTTTAAAAATCAGGGATCAGAGTAATCCACTCCCCGGCTGCAAGGGCCTGCGGACTCTGTATTTAAATCACGATTCGGATGCTAAATACGCAACAACAGCCAGCACTTGCGCAGGATAGATTTAACCCCCCGACCTCAACCGGCCGTCCCTCCCTCCAGTCTGCGGCCGCTCCGGTCCGCACACGCGACCTCGGCCAGGTCACGTGGACAATGGCCCGGAGGCAGAAACACAGCCGGCCGCGCCGGTTAACCGCGGACCAGGCCGCACCCGCGCGGCCGCACGACCTCCCCCCCCCCCCCTGATTCTCATGGATCACAACAGCGCATTACGGATCATTACAACAATAGCGCTGCGGCGCTCTCCGCAGGCGGGTGCTCCGGCGTAGTGGCACCAGCTCGTCCCTGGCTGGCCCAACCGCACGGTCTGCCGGCTCAGGCGCGCCTACAGCCGCGCCAGCACCGTGCTCCACCTCTGGTTGACAGTCCACACACGACACAGACTCCTACCACACTTCCGTTTCGTGTGACTCACTGAAGACCTGCCGAGTTTGTAAGCCAATAAATGAACAATTTCGTTCTCCTCAGACGATTCGCCGGGTTCGAACGGGCGTCGTGACCTCAACGCAACGTACTATGCACAGCCTTTGAGGTAAAATGAGCTGCAATGCATGTTAGCTGTTCCAGAACTGCATTGAGAATTGTGCGCGGCGTCGACGACAGTTACGTATCAGATCTGTCAGCCCTTCTGATTCTACCTTTTCGTGAAGATTCATGCTGGTTCCTAAATGACTGACCGATCAGGAGGGCATTGTTGACTGACCGATAAGGAAGTCACTGTAGAGGGCACCGACCAGGAAAGGGCCGACCACTGCGCCGACCCGAGCAAGGCGAAAAATAAGTAAGTCCCGTGCGATCGGCCACCCCTGCAAACCCGTGCCAGTCAATGCCCATGTTCACGGGAGCGGACTAGTGATGATGACGGGCCAAGGCATCATCCGTTCACTTGGTGGCCTCACACCACGAAACCAGGCTGCGAGGGAAAGAATGAGGGACTGGTCGAGCCCCGAATACGGGCGACATGGTCGAGTCCGTCGGTGTGCTTGGAATGGTGCCTCGCTTTGGTACCGATTCCTGGACGGGAGGGGCAGCTAGACCTTAAGACTCGCTTCTTGTAGAACGTTGATGGAGTGCCTGGGGTGATTCAGGATGCCGCGAAGGGGCGGACAGTGGCTCATGTAGCTCAGTGGTTGGCTCGGCGGTCGACTCGCGTGCAACGGAACCAAAACGGGGCAGCATATAAAATCCTCTGGAGCGCGGGCAGTAACGCTTGACGGTGAAGCAGAGGCACCCGATGGCGAGGACGCCGGCAATGATAATGAATGTCCAAGAGACTGAAAAAGTGACAGGGCTGTCGTCCATGACGCGTGCAAGCGGCTGAGCTTCTATTTTGTTGAAGTAGGCATCTGTTGTCATGACTGTTAACTGCAATGGAGACAGCGCAGAGACATTGAGGCGGGACGTATTAATAAGCGCGTGTGCCCAGGTGGAACGCTAGATGGGAAGTGGTCTGTCCGTCAGAAGTTTTTCGGCCCGAAATTGTGGTAAATCTATGTGGGTTTCACTCGCGTAATACGGTGGCAGATAGAACTAGTCTTCCGAAGCTGAGCATCACATCTCCAGAGTAATGCTGTCAACGGCTTTTGTAATGGCGAAAGTTTTGCCTCTTTTGGTGGAGGCGCAGGAAGTTGTGATGGTGATTGGTTGACGTGACGCCAGTAACCATTGGCCGTGTGTCAGATAATAGGCCTCAGGGGCATTGTTTGTGGCTTGGACGACTGGGTCGCGTTAAGTTGTGATTGACGCCGGGTCCTGGCGGAACGGGGCAACAACTCAGGATGTGGAGGATGCTAGGGAATGTGCGGACTCACGCAGCTGGAATGTGCGGACTCACGCAGCTGGAATGTGCGGACTCACGCAGCTTGCAAAAAGGGGAGGCGAGCCAAAATACAGTTTTTCATGTCCGTTTTCTGAAGGTTGCGTATAATGTTGTCTGATTTATGAAACGATCAGAAAATGAGGTTCGTTTGGGTAGTACCCGAGAGATATGTTGCGGGTCTGATGGGGTACTTGGATGGGAAGAATCGATACACATCGAAGACGTGTTGAGCGTGTAGAAGTGGGACGTAAAACAGGACATAAGTGTCTCTGTTTTTGACTAGTTTGGTCTTGGCTGCTCTGACATAGTTACTAACGTCTGTTTGTGAGAATGACAGGGCAAAGTTATGTGTCAAGCTTTTTTTACTATTTTCTTCAGGATTCGTCCAAATTCTTGGGTAGGGATGATACTTGTATGTCATATACCGGCTTGGGCCAGGGCTAGTTTGGTTGTTAACGTTTCTAGTTCGGTATGTAGGCGGTGGACGCTTCGCGTCACCCGGTGGACGTGTTCTGCCAGGAAGTTGATATGTAATATGAGGGAGAAGATTTTGCTCGTGTTCCTGGACGTATTTAACAGACCCGGGTAAGCGATCTGCATTCTTTTCACAGCGGTCTTGAGGGAAAAGAGCTCACGTCGATTCTGATTGGTTGCGACTCGAATGGAATTTATAACTTGAAGGGTCCCTTAAATGTGTGGGCCATTGCCATCTCCTTGCACTGATAATTTGCACATTTTCAGTTAGATGCCTTGATTTCTTTTTCTGTGGGCGGTTCCAAATAAGCAAGACATTAGACTGTCTACGCCGTTGGTCAATTCCCGCTTCGCGCGGTTTTGTTTGAATGCCCGGTGGGTTGAGAATGTCCATAAACGTGTGAGAGAGGTCCGATTCTTCGTGCTTCAGCTGTTTTCACTGATGTTGGATACGTGGGTTAATGGACATCTTAGCACAGCATAATTTGGGGTAGGGGGGGGCGATTTACCATGGGTGCTTGGTAGATTTTGGTGGGTGTCCGCGATCTTTTTTGGTGGCTCTTTTGATCGTCCCCATCTGGCCGTCGGTAAGGGGTCATATTAGTTGAAAAGCGTGATGGCCTTCAGGAACTCTGGCTTGGGCACGTTTTCCAGAGGGGCGATAAAAACCGCTCCTTCCATCTTCACCGACCCGTGAGATGGCCGGAGGACACTTCGTCGGACAGGTCGTTCGCGTCCCGCAGCGCCACGCCCGTCTTCTCACGTCCTTGCCCTCACCGCCCGGGCACCGCGCCCGCGCGCCGCCTCTCTCGTCCGCGACCGCGCCGTCGGTTCTTTGGCGGCCCGCAGGAGCAGCTTGGCTCAGCCGGGGGCGGTCGCTTTGGATCAGCCTTGGAGGCGGCGGGCTGGCCAGCCTGGGGCGGCGGGCGGCTGTCCAGCCTGGGCGGATGGCTCGTGGCTTAGCCGGCGCCGTAATTGGCGCGACGTCCGGTCCACGTCACCACCCCTGCGTGGGCCTCTGAGGAAGGGCGGCCACTCTGGGCACGGTGGACTGGCCGGCGATGAGCTTGCCAATTCCAGCGTCGAGGGCCATGTCCACGCTGGCCAGCTCCGCCACCGTCCACTGCGTGCCCGAGCGCGCATGGGCGCGGTACTGCGCTTTACGCGCCATCCAGTAGGGCTTGATTGATCGGTCGATTAAGAGCCCCGTTGCCTCCTCGACACCGAAGATCTTGTCCGAGCCGTCTTGCTCGGTGCCTGGCGCGGACTCCTGGGTGGCCTCGGTGGCAGGCGGCGAGGCTGGATTGTACGCAGTGTCGCAGGTCATGGCCGTGACATCATCGTCGCCTGGCACTTCGGCCACATCTGGCTGCCCCTGCTCTGGCTGGTCCTGTTCTTCTTCGGAGGAGTCAGTGCTGCCACTGATGTCAAGGTAGGCTTTTGCTGACTCGTGGATCGCGCGGTATGTCTTGTGCGCGGTTGTAGCCGTTGCGGTCTTATCATAAAACCGCACAGCCGTTTCGTAGCCATGACAGCGCATCTTGGCGGCCTCCTTACTTGTTGTCCCTTTCAGGGCGCCGGCCGCCTCAAGCTCATGGGTGAGCTGAACGTGGGATCTGCGGCCACGGTTCCCACGCGCCAGCTCATGGCACGCGATGTGCTCAATGGCCGGGATGTGGAAGCGCAGAGACGCCGAGCGGTACATATTTAGCCTCGGCAGAAGCCTCTCCTCACTCTGCCCCTTCGTGAGGAGTGCCGGCCGCAGGTGCTTCACAAAAAAGTCCATAGCTCGGGCGAGCCTTCCCGACACAACGACTGTCCT